AACTTCGTCTTCGTGCGATATGGCCATCATATCCAATTTTGTTGCACAAACTACTATTCACGCACAGACTACAAAACGAAAAAATATACTATTGCGTTCAACTCAACGAATATATTTCATATCCATTCTGGGTAGTGAGAACACTGCAAAAAAATAAAATCCACCAATCACAGTTTATATATTGGACACCCAACAACTATTATTTTTAAAATTTTAAATAAGTGACAATTCTGTCAAACTAATTGTCAGTATATTTTTTAGGAATTGAGATTAAATATACATTAAAATGAGTTATTTTTGCGTAGGATTCATAAATAATTTTAATTTAGACCACAATTTAAAAAATCCTAAATTTGAATTAAACTACCTATATGAAACTAATTTAATTACTACTTTTAGAACTAAAATTTTAAATGTGGAGGTGAAAATGATGATACGGCATCTGTCTTTCACGCGAGAGGCCCGAGTTCAAATCTGGGCTGGGGACTAATTAAATGAAATATTTTTTCATGTTTATTTTATTTCACAAATTAGTAAAGTCATAAATTATTTTAAAATTAATTATTTTGTCTTTTCCTAAAATAATACTTTAAATTTGTAGATTTTCGTTAGTGGGTCGTAGAAAAAAACATACTGTACAACTCCAGTGGATTGTCCACTGTTGTTGCACAAACTAGTATCAAATGGGTTATTATTTAAAAAACGTATTTTTATACAGGGTATTTGTAAATACGTACGAACAATTTTTGCAAATTGTTATCAAAGTTATTTTGTTAAAAAAAGTTCCTATAAAAGTAGGTCGAAATATGCTTCGTTTCCGAGATACAGAATGTTTAAATTTGAATTTATTAAATTTTACTAATTATTTTTAATAGTTTTAAAGATATTTACTCTAAATTTGCAAAAAAACTTTGAAGGGGCAAATGTGTATTTTTTGGGGTGTTCCAAATATTTCTACTTGTACCAGTGGCGTTTGTGCGAGAATGCCACTTTTTTAATAAAAAAGTACTGCGCCACTGACTTTTTCGATCTATGTTTTTTTTATAAAATAACTTCGGCAAACATTTCCTAAAATCATTCACACTTACCAACAAACACCCTGTATATTAGAAAATGTAGAAATAGGTACATATGTATATTTAAAAATATATTTCGTAAATAAATAAATTAGTTATAAAATTTTTTTTTCGAAAATGTTACACCAGGTTATACCTTTAAAAAATATTTTAAACGAGAAAACAAAACAGAAATACTCTTTGTTAGACCGGACCTGCGATTTATCGGCATTTTTAATATTTTAAATCATCTATAGTTTATAAGTAATAAATTGAAGGGAGCGTAAGCCTGGGAATAGAGCAACGTTGCCAAAGTGGGTTCAGATGCACTGAAAGTTGTCAGTGTGTTCTAAATCTGAATTTGCTGTTAGGTGTTGCATGGATATCGCTCTTAAAAATGTTACTTATCAGCCATCCACACACTTGTAATCGACTGTAATAATTTGTAATAAATATTCCACTGAAATAAATATACTAAAATAAAACGCAGGTCTGATTTATAATCAACTAACTCAACACAAATCATTTTCTAACAAAAATCCCAAAAGAATCATTCGGTGATTCAGCCGTTTACAAATACTTGGAACATTACACAACTCCTATTATTGATATCGGCAATCAGCGTCATATAAAGGGCGAGTATTCCTTAAATTTAAAGATCGCCTAAACACTGTAATTACGTTTTTCTTTTCAGTTGATTGTTGATAATATGGCAAAGAACAATGTACAAATTAATTCTTGAGCAAAATCTGAATTAAAATCGAGGGCTGAAATTAAAAAAAAATCATAAACCAAAAATGGAAAGCGATATAAACATGACATTTTTAGTAAAAACCAAGCCCTACAAGGTTATATGAAGCCTACTGATTCTAAAAAAAAAATCTGAATAAAAATGGGGGTTGAAATATTGAAAAAAACTCCTAATTCAGAAACAAAGAACGATATCAAATTGAAATCTTCAGAAAAAATCAACATGGGGTCTGTCAAAATGTGAAGAGTATAATATAGAATGCTAAGCATTATATATCTTCATTCTAGTTTTAAATTTGCAATTTCATTTAGATGTGACACTTTATACAAAATCCCAATGCTTGAATAAAAACCGAAATTTTATATAAATAATATTACGGTTCATTTCATATTTTGGCATTTGTGCCACTTGCAATAATATGCGACACACTTTAGTTTCATCTTCCTCATAATATACAAACGCATTCTAAGTCTATCTGTGAACGTGTTATTATAACAGATTTATAAGCCTATGTCTAATCTAACCATACAATAAACGATTTACAGGTACATGTGCTTTCTTTTGTTTCCGTTACGACAATCTCATTAGTTACTGTTTAGTTCCAGTTTTAAAAACCGTGAAATTTCATTATCCATAATAGTAAATTAATTTTTATTTGGTTTAAGTACCTCAAATCCTATTGCACAGTTATTTAATGGGGTATTCTGGTCTAGAAATTCGAATGAACAATAGACGACAGGCAAACTTTCAACGCAATTTTCTCGAAACTACTTTTTTTGACCTCTTGACATGATATTTCAAGTTCTAATTAACAGATTAACTAAAAATTTTGGTAAAATTTACTTTTTTTTTTAAAAATTCGTAAAAAAAAGAAGCCGAAAAACTTTTTTTCAAATCGTCGCTATTTGGCGAAAATATTTTAAATTTTTTTTCCAAGTTCCGGGCTATAGCGACGTCTTTACTAATCAAGAATTTGTTTTCTTTTTTTTTTGTTTCACAACACTATGAGGGTTGGAATCATGTCAACCACGAAACGCCTTTTATTTGGCCCCCACTTCACAAAATCATAACTCGATGAATTTTTGATTTTTTTTTTGGCAAAAATATATTTTATTCTTAACATATTACTAAAAATTATAGTTAAAATAAATTGTTTTTTTTTTATTCTACGCGGAAAATCGTCCGAAATGTAGGCTTCTAGACCAGGATACCCCCTTAATCAAAAATTTTTTATTTAATGTTGGTAGAAACTTGTACATCTGGTGTCGTCATTGGTCATGCTTTCTGTTTAATTATTTCTTTATATCAGTGATGATTGATGATATACTGGGTGTACCATTAAAAACTTCCAGGCCGGATATTTTGATAAGAAATAGATATTTTAATTATGTAAAAGCCAGTTCACAGAGCACTTAATAAGCTTCAGTTTTAGATACAAATTGATTTTAAATAGCTTAATATGTAGATGGCGCTGCGCTCAATATTTTTTTTTTTTTTTTCTATAGGAGGATCTTTCTTGTGTACCGAATCTTGTAAAAAAATGCATTTTTAAGCAGATTTTGTTCTATGAACTAATTCGATAAATTTAACCATTTTTGATATACAGAGTGGGTCACTTCAAACAGTTTCATCCTGTTTTTCGGCAATAATCATTGGATTTTAAGAAAATGCTAAAACAGGTCGATTTTTATTCCAAATTGCACATTTTTACAATACTGACATCTGTCATGTGTCAACCACTCTCTTGCACTTACTTTCAAATAGATAATGTACCATGTATGGCACATCATTGAAATGGTAATTTAATGGGGGCTTCAGAAATATGTCTGTACATTGCTTTACTTAAATTTTTCTGCCCTCTAGCGGGATAAAAAACTATTACATATTATAAAATGTGACAATATCATATATCATTAAAAAAGTAACTTTATAGGGAATTTAGAAATATGACTTGCGATACTTTTAAATGTACCGCCCTCTATCGGGATAAAAAAGTGTACGTATTATAAAGTGTTATACCTTATTTGAAAGTAAATTTAATTACTAATTCAATGCATCACATAACATCATATTGCCTTGCAACAGTTTGAGTATTAGTCATGCATTATTTTAAACATTATTGCTAACTTTATTTTGTTGCAAGTGCAATATGGAAATATTTATATTAATGTTGTGGTGCATTGAATTAGTAATTAAATTAGCTTTCAAATGAAGTATCACACTTTATAATACGTTACAGGTTTTTTCGTCCCGATAGAGAGCGCTAAAATTAAAAGTATCACAATAAACAGTCATATTTGTGACTTCTGCATAAAATTACATTTTTAATGTGCCGTACATGGTACATTTCTTATTTAAAATTAAGGGTTTGGAGAAGTAGAAGGGAGGAGGTTGACACATGGCAGATATCTGTATTGTAAAAATGTGCTGAATTTGGAATAAAAATCGACCTGTTTTAGCATTTTCTTAAAATCTAATGATTCATGCCGAAAAACAGGATGAAACTGTTTTGAGTGGCCCACTCTGTATATCAAATATGGCTAGATTTATCGAATTAGTTTATAGAACAAAATCTTCTTTAACATGCATTTTTACAAGATTCGTTATATAAGAAAGCTCCTATTGAAAAAAAAAAAAAAATATTGAGCTCAGAGCCATCTACATATTGACCTATTTAAAATTAATTTATATCTATGAACTGGCTTTTACAGAATTAAAATATCTCTATTACTTACCAAAATATCAGGCCTGGGAGTTTTTATATATTACGCCATAATCAGTGAACTGACCTATACTCGATTTTTTTTTTAATAATTATCCCTAGTCGAAACTGACATCAAAAAATGTTTAGGTTCAAAAATCATAAACCAGGTTTGATAGGAGGAAAGGATTAAAAAGAATTGACACGTGTATTAATATATAATTTTAGTTATGTGTGATGTAAAGGTATTCATAAATTGATCCGATTTTATCACATTTATACCTATTTTATTCCAGAAAACTTAAAAATAAAAGTCGTTCTCCAACGAAATGTATATCAAAATATTTTGATGTTCTACTAAAAAAGGTATAATGCATATAAGTTACTTACCATTTTTTAATATCAAGGAATCAAGCTATCTATGTATTCTTTTAGAAGTACAGTTTAAAAAAAGACTGAACTGCTAGAAATAGTTTTATTTCATTATTTAAAAGTCCATCCATATATTACTTGAAAATTAATGAAATAATTTAACAAATTTCAATACAATACATACCTACAATAACCTACAAATAAAAAAAACACCTTCTAAACTAAAATGGTGAAAACTGAATTAATTTTAATAAAAAAAAATTGTAAACTATGGCGTCATAAAAACAACGATCTAGTTTTGTCATAAAAATATTTATAATTTTAGGTTTATATTTTTACTTGAAGACACACGTAAAGGAATGTTTTTTATTTGCAGAATATGTACGAGAAAATAAAATACTTTCTTACAGTAAAACAAAGTTAATTATTTATCGATGATGTCTTCTGGAAGGTTGTCTATCCCTGTATCTATCTCTAGATCTGCTTTTTGAAGATCTCGTTGAGGAACGCCTACGTCTTTTTGTTCTGGATCGAGATTTAGATCTAGACCTAGACTTTGATTTAGATCTTCGGTTTCTTTTCCTGAAGAAACGATCAAAATTAAAAATATGGATTATACCTAGTTATGATAACAAAAAGAGATAAGAAAGACATTCTACTTGCATCTTATAGTAAGTGTACTGATTATTACTTAACTAAATCTAACTAAATGCATTAAAGAAAAATATAATTGCAGAGAAACTTTAAAATGAAACCTTGAGGGCCCGACCTTAATCTAATTAATTTTTAAATAAATGTGTTACCCAGAAATAGTTAATTAAAAAACTAGTACAATCACCTAGATCTATCACTGTCTGAACTGCTACTGCTACTTGAACTAGATGAACTCAGTGTTCTCTTTTTAACGTCTTTCTTTCCATCTAATTCCTGAAGAACCTTATATGTTTTTAGCAGTTTCTCCTTTTCAATGGCATCTCGTTTTGCTCTTTTTGCCTTTTCTAACATCTCAGTCTCCTCTTTTGCTTTACGTTGTTTTTCAGCTACCAAACGCTGCAAAAGAATACGTTCTAAATTATCAATCTTCTTCAAAGAATTTTTTTTTTTTTTGAAATTCAGAAATATATTTTTCTAATGGAAAATATAATCTAAAAATACTTTTTTTCTTCACAATTTTTTTTAAATTTCTAAAAAATTCAAACAAATGGCGTGCTTCAATGATCTCTAAATTTCGATAGAATGAAGCACAAAGTCTTATTGGGTAATTTATAATGTTCTGATAGTAGTCAATGGACCATGATAGTAGTAACGTCAAAACAAAGTTGGTAGTTGATAAAACATATTTGTTTCTACACAAAACACATTACCATGGCAACGATTCAGATATTACAAGGGGGTACTTAGTAGCACATATAAAAAAAGTGAGGAAGTTAATTTAGTACCACTACAATTAACTGATGGTACTACTGTCGAAATAACAATTGACATTTTATGAACGACCAAAAAATATGAACAAGTGCTTAACAAAAAATGCAGTTCCCTCCCACACTTCAAATCTTCAAAGGTCCAAAGAAACAAGTGTAAGTTTAATTTTTTTTGGAATTTTGTATTTTCCCATTAGTGGGTAATTGTTCAATTTCAATTTGGGTTATAGACACGCAAACAAGTTTCAAATAAAAGATATGAATTTGAAAAAAAAAAGTATTTTAAAAATATTTTTGGATATAGAGTATTGCGTTTTGCCTGGCAAATAAAAATGTATATTTTTTACATAGAACACCCTGTATTTTATTGCAGTTTTAGAATGTTTTGGTAATACTGTATTCGACCCTAAAATGTTTTTAAAAAATATTACAATGTTGCCAAGAAATTAATTTTTTTATGAAATTACAGAATGATGGAGGCCCCAAATTGAATTTCGGTAGATTTACAATGATTTCAAAATTGTTTAAAATACAGACTTATAAGATACCAAACTAAGGAATAGTGGTGATAGAACTGATTTATTTTATACAGAGTGTTTTGAAATACGTTTTAAATATGGCTAATTTTATTTTACTCAATTTTTTCAAATACAACACCCTGTATATTATTTTAGCATAAAATTCCTTATAAATTTATCTATCCAACGATACCAACATGATAGCCAATAACACATATACAGGGTGGTCCCATCAGTGCGTAATTGATCGAGAGCTCTTTTATTATTGGAAATACGAAAGATATTTTTAATATAAAAATATTTTAAGGATTTTCTAATATAAAATTGTATTTATAAATATTTTTATTTTATAGGAAAATTCTCCCCATTGTTCGCCACAGACGATAGGAGATACATAACAATCGAAAAATTGGGAAACCACTAAAATGAAGACAAAGGGAGTTTGAATTTTAGAAAATGTTTTTGTTTCAATTGCTTTAGAAATACTTGTAATACATTTAAATAGATGGTTTCACTAAATTAAAAAAAAAAAAAAAAATTGAATAATGATTTAAAAATTGAATAGAATAAACTGCTGTATTACCATTTCTTCTTGTTTCTTCAACTCCAACAATTCCATTTTCTTCCTAAGAATAAGCAACTTTCTATATTTTTCTTCAGCATCTTTATCGACTTTAAAAACATGATTATCATCATGCTTTTTATTTTTTTCATTTTCAGCAGATTTGGATCGCCTAGATTTTTCCTTTTCTTTGCTCTTTGATCTTCTGTTCCTTGAGTACGAAGTTTTAAGAGCTCTTTCACGTGACCTACTTCTTCTAATTGGGGATTTCCTATGATCCCTAAAAATAAATTTAAAGACAAAAAAATAATCATAATAATCATATAGTTTTATTACCTTGTTTTGTCTCTATCTTTGCGTTCTTTTATATCTCTGTCTCTCTCCTTATCTCTTCTGTTTTTCTCTTCAATGACATTTCGTCTGCGATCTTCGAATCTACCTCTATTATTTCTTCTAACTTCTACAAATCGACCGTTTCTCTCAAATCTGTTATCATTTTGTACAGGTTTTTCAGTTTCGAACTTGTTTCTGCCCCTTTTTTCCTCGACCTTTAAAAATTCGCAATATATTAAATTATGTCGTTAAGTATTTTTTTTTTTTAATTCAGAGTTGCTATGGAAATTTGATATATTTTACTGTGTAAATTAGACATTCCAACATCCTGCCCAAATAATTGCCTGATTAATTTGACCGGGTGTTTTGGACTATTGACACAAACGTTCGTTTACTAATCTGTCAAGTTGTTTTTATATAATAATTAGTGGTAACTTTGTACTTTCTAGTTTGTGTGTAGATTTTGAACAAAACCACAGTGTAATATAAGTTTTTATTAATAATTTTGTCTTTAGTGTCATTTCTGAATTAGAAAACTAAAAGCAAAAGGTGTGCAATAAAAAGAACATAGGTTGCAATCAAACATGTATCAACGCACAGAACACTGAACTCAATGTAAAATTAGGGTTCGTGTGTCATCTTCATCAGGCAGCTATTTTGTTTGTAATGCCTAATAAATAATATTAATAATAGGCATTTCAACGACCTGTCAAAATGGCTGCCTGTGGACTTTTGGGCTGTTCAACAGGTGACATTTGACATCACTGTCACTTCAGCCAAAAAAATGTTTTAAATAAAAAAATGGCTCATAAATTGGTTGAAAATCTTTAATTTAAACAAATAAACCAAAAATAATTTTAAATAAAATAATGATTATTTAGCAAGGTGGGCACTCCAACATTTAATGATTGGATACACGATGATGATTAATTTTATTTATTGAAAGTCTTTTGACGAACAATAAGCACTGAAAAAAATGCAGAAAGCACTTTGCATTTTTTAACTAAAAGAATTTTTGCACGAAATACAAGTTGTCTTTGCTGAAAATTACAATTGTTAAAAGTATAATTCAGGCTACAGTTTATCTATATAACTGGTTAAACATTAGGGGTAGCAACTTTAAATTGTCATGCTTCTTTTATTGATAGAGACGATGGAAATGTTATAAAAGGATGGAGGAACAACTACTGATTTTTTCTCTGCAAAGATCAGATTACATAGGTACAGCAAAATGATCAGAGTTTTGATGGTTAAAGATAGATAGATAGCTTTATTAAAATAGGTACATCCTAATATATAAAAAAATACAGTCTAAAGTCCCTCCCCCCATTTATTTTTACAATTTTGGGTGACGTAATCATCAAAAATGGCGAACCGGAGCCATTTTGGAAGATAATTTTAAATGGGATCATATGTCAAGTGATGCATCATTTGAAAGCTTGTTCCAAACACTTTCCAATGATATAAATAAAAATAAAATATTTTGTCTTTTTACCCATAACGAATTCTTTGCTTTAAGTTTTCAATGCTATCAACTGGTGTACTACAAATTTTTAACCGTATCAAAGTTATTTATGAAAAAAATGAAAATATATTTGTTTGTAAAAAGTTTAGTTTAGACGATACAGCCATTTGAAATGACAACTTAAAAATATTCAATGGAAATTCTACATAATATGAAAAATATCAAAATCAAGTTTATTTTTAAATTACAAACTAACGTCATCAAAATAAAAAAATTTAATTTAACAGGTGTTCAAAATTACATTCTCCTCCTGTATACACTTACTACATAGTTTTAACAATGAAAATCGAATTTTGATATTTTTGCATACGTATAATTTACATTGAATATTTTTAAGATGTTATTTTAAGTGGTTATATCGTCTAAACCAAACATTTTACAAACAAATACTAAGAGACAAAAAAGTTTCCAAATAGATTTTGCATTTCAGTAGCGTTCGATTTTTAATAAAATTTTATATTACAAAAAAGTTGAGTAGAGAAAGGGGCGGTGATACCCCACAAAATCCTACAAAAATTAAAAAAATATATATTGCCTCTACCTCGATTTTGTTAATCATGGTATTCCAACACGTCATATAAAATTTCATGAAAAAATGTCAAACAGTTAAACGTTAAAAAAAATTCATTTAAATTTTTATCTTATACACCCTGTAACTATTTTTGGGTGCACTTTTGTATATGGGTAAGTACGGTTTAATCGACCTATTTTTGACCCAAGAATACGTGGTATAATTTATGACCAATCTTTTTGAAACACCCTGTATATGTTGTGATGTCCCTGACACCATTAAAAATAATTTGGTTACATCTTTAAACTACTTTTTTACATCATGCAAACAATATTTAAAATTTAATGACAGAATGGTTTGTTTTTGTTAAAAGTTAACAATCGGTAAAACAAAAATTACATCACACTAATATAGTGTATAGAGCAAAAAAATAAAAGCTCACCTTGCTGGCTAACTGTGGAGGTATCTGGATATTTTCATGACCTGCTAATTGCAACAATCGCATATTTACTCTTCCAAACCTACTATTTAAGGTCTTGTTGGTGGCAGCAGATACAAATTTATTTGGTCGTTGTTGGGACTTATTACTGTATCCACTCATTTTCATCTCGCCAGTGGGAGGATCTTCTCCTTTTTTTATTTGAACCCCTACAGAAAATTTACATGAAAAAAATTACAATTGACATGTTGATAATGTGAGTTTAATTTGTTCCTATACGCACCGAAAATCCATTTGATTCTATAAACGACACGAATTTCCTAACAAATTTAATTTGAATTTTAATACTTTGTCTTACCTAAAGCCATAGCCAAAAAATCGGACCTCTTATTAATTTCTTCAGCTTCTTTTTCCTCTAGATCAACCTGCCTAATCTCTCTTTGCAACTCTTCTCTGCTTTTATATTTATTGTAAGCACCTGGCAAAGGATATTGTACCAAACTTGGCACAATTTTTTTAGGGTCATCTTCGTCGCTGGGATCCTCATAATCTAAAGCGTTATAATCTACCCCGCGGTGTTTAGGGTGTTCTGTTTGGGGTGTAAGAGACTTGTGGTATGGAAGTTCAGGGGTCCCACTGCGTCGTCGCAGGGATTTTTCTTTCATGTCTTCAAGTTTTTTTCGTTGATTTTCAAGTTTGTGAAGATCAGACATTTTTATTACACGAGATTCTTCTTTACGCCAGTGGATGGGAGTGGCGCTTCTAGAACGACTACGAGATGGAGTTCTGAACCTCTGAAAATTGACAAACATACATTTAGTAGAATTTTATACCAAAATGAAGATTAACTGTTTTTGAAGGATATTCTAAGCCACGCATGGTTAACCCTGTATCCTCTCTAGTCTGCTGATGTGAACTGCACAACTAGGATCCCAAAATGCTTCTAATCATAGTATTAAAAACACAATATAGTTTTAGTGTTTAATAATCTTTTTGGTGTATCGTTTTAGAAAGGCTAGAAGTCTTGAAGCACTTTAAAGTAATATTATCAATGGCTATTAAATATGAGGTCAGATGAAAATATTACTTCCAAATCGTTAAAAGAAAAAACTGATTTCAGTGTTACATTAACATTATACAACTTTTTCAGCGAATGGTAAAGCCAATTTGGTTTTACGGATGAGCTTAACTCAAATGATGCAATGCATGAAATAGTATCATCATGTGGCTGAAAAAATGAATATCAATAATAAAGCAGTATTCTTGGATTTAGCAAAGGCCTTTGATACAGTGTCACATCAGAAACTTCTAAATATTGTAGACCAAAATGGAGTAAAGGGCCATACTAAGGGTTTTTGATAGTAATCTAAGCAAACATGAAGAGTCATGATTAGAGATTCTCAGTAATCCAAATGTACAAATTGGTATCACACAAGGTATATTTCTAGGGCCAATATTATTTAATATGTTTATAAAACTTCAAGTGAGATTAACATATAGGGTAAAGTAGTTTCATATGCTGATGATACTGTACTAATATTTAGGACTAAAGATTGGGAAGCTGTAAAAGTGCAAGCAATAAGAATATGAGCAAATCAAAAATCGGTTAGAGTTCAAGTTCAAGCCCGGTTTTATATTTAATTCTTTATCATTCTTATTTTTGAGTTTTTTTTTTTAAAGTTAGTTGAAAAAGATGTTTATTTTAACGACTTCTACACACAGTTAAAAAAAGTATATTTTACAATTTTGAATCTAATATAATCTATTTATACACAAAATAATTAAACTTCAGGAATTATATCTCTTTCAATAAGGTTTAAGTATTGTTAATGCTACATAAATGGATTATATTTTTATTTGTATATTTTTTGATATAAAAGTATACTCCTTGAGAATCATTATATTAATTAATAATTACTTAAATATATAGGAATCAAATTATAATATAAGGACTACAATCAGTTATATATTCAAGTGTTAAATTTATTTCTTAATTTAATTTACATTAGTTTCATAATTTCTGCTGAATAATTCAATTTTTTAAATAAATTTGTTTGTAATATTTTATTTTACAGAATACCAATTTTTATATTTGTACTTACTGTCAAATGATTGTCAATTATTTTTAATAAACAATATTTTTCAATACTATATCAAATGTTAAAATTTTATTTAATTTAATAAAATAATTCTGAAGATATTGAAAATTTAATGAATAATTCTTAGGAATGTATAGAAGCTTTTGGAGATTCAGAGTTTTAGAGTAATATGACAAAAATATGTTCAGCATACAAACATTTCTGATTTTGCACATGTTTATACAGAAAAATAATCTTACAAATTTTCCTCGTCCTTTTATTGTGCGGCCACTTTTAGAAGTCAAAGGCCTTCCTCTTCTATTAAAATTGGATCCCCACTCTCGTTTTCCTCTCTCATTTCTATCTCTAAAATTCTTGTCTCTACCTACATCTAAAAATGATTAACAGAACTTAGAATTGAGAATTATAAAAGACAAATTAAACAAAAATACGAAAAATTTATTAAGTAAGTACCTTTTTTATTTTTACGATCATCAATATTGTCACTTTCTTTTTTGATCTCTCCTCGCATTAAAAATTTATTTTTGGGAACTTCTGGTATATCATCTGGATTGATATTTGACACTGTAACCAGAGGATGCGGTTCGAAAACCTCGCCTTCTTCAGGATCATCAGATTTATCTCCAGCTTTCCTAAAATATTAATTAAATTATATCCCTGGACTTAATTCAGAGCCATCCGAAGTTATAACAGATTTGAGTCGTATCTCGGTCCTTGTTATTTATGGCATACTTTAAGAACATTTTTTGTGAATCACTCTTTATTTTAATGTAGAGCAGGTAAACTCAAGGCTTCTGCATGTAGAACTAACTCATGATTTAAATTCCCCTTTACTATACCCCTCAAAATTTTGGCAAACTATGCAAGGTAAGCGATCTGCATTATTCAGAATGGGGCTTACCATTCTACAAGCGTTTGTAGAATTTCATAACTTTATAATTTCGATACCTTTTTGCCAGACTATCGTAAGTGCTATTTGAAAAATGTCGCTTACGTTAGTCTGGCAAAAAGGTATCGATTTGTTCAATTTTTTTTGCGCGATACATATTAACGGTAAAGCTGGACAAAATAATCGATTTTTTTTTTAAATTTTTAATTTTGATTAATCGGATAATCGCACTTTCCACTCAAAATAAAGTCTCAATTTATAAACAAGATCTAAAGCCAGTATGGACATTTGTAGTAAATTAGGTTAGTTTAAAATGCTGATTAATCTTATAAGATTAGGTGCATTCGGACATTTAAAAAAAAAAAAAAAAAATGAAATCCTTTAGGATTAAAAAAAATAAATAAATAATTTACTTGAAAGCACTATAGAAAAAGTCTTGTGGTTTCACAGTTGACAAGCATCTAGTGAAATCAGTACCTGTGCCACAATACATAAAAAATAAATTCCATAAGAAATGAATTGCATTTTATAAACACTTTAAAGCACTAAAGTTATGAAATTCTCCGCTGGGAGAAATGATCAATTATGTCAAAACTTTAAGTCAATCCTCAGTATTGAACCCCTAGGTAGGGGACATCAGTAATTCCTATTTTATAATAACAATTAAAGATATTTTTCGATTCCTTAATATCATTAGGAAGATAATTGAAAAGTTTACAACTATTTAAAATGAAACAGTTTTTGGAAAAGTGCTAAAGAATGAACATCTGGTTAATTTTGATCTAAATCTAGTTTTGTGCAGAGATTAGAGACATAAAGATAGGAAACGCAACGACCGCAGCAACGATGACGTCATCTATGCGTCTCAGATGTTAACTAAAGGTACACGCACGTCCACATACTTTGATTTTCTTTTACTATACGGAGAATGGTCGCACTGCGCAGCTTTCTGAGTGCCTTTTAAAAGGAGATAGAAAACTCCGCCATTTTGAACCCTTATTACGTGTTGCCTATATCTTGGCGCAATATTTTTAATAGGTGCGTTTTAATCATCCGCTTCTGCTTCGGAATTGTCAGTTTTCTTGTTTTAATCTGACAGGATAAAACGACTAAGCCGACAATTCCGGAAGCAGAAGCGGATGATTAAAACGCATCTGATATTTTGCTTGCTGCTGTCAGTGTCAGTGAATGTTATTTTTGAAGTCACAGTTTATTGCTAAAGAATCAGTTAGCTCACTCGGACCAGTTGTAAGTTCCAAAATAACATCCACTCCAGGGATACAAATTCAGGATACGCAGAAGACTGCTGTTTTATTATAGGCGGTTGTCATATATTGTATTATCCGAGTTGCACAGTGTATAAACTGAAACATTGAGATCCAAAGTGCCGACGCAGAGTGAGCGATCTGATTCTTTAGCTGTAAACTGTGTCACAGGGTTCAAAATGGCCGCGCCCTATGTTGGGCGTGTCGGGCCTCTCTCTTGCCTCGTATAATTATTAAAGTATGTGCGCACGTCGTTTGTAGACAGTAGACAAGGAGAACAGTTGACAGTTCGTAAATATAAATGTCAATTAGTTGTATGTATATGGTAGAATCCTGAATTTGAATTTTCAATTTTGAAGTTCATGATTGTGTTATCCTCTAGATCAGCGGTTCTCAAAGTGTGCTCCACAAAGCCTCTGTGGGGGCTCCGCGAAAATACTAGTCATAATAAAAAAAAACTAAAGGAGTACCATAAGGTTGCAGGGTAAAATAAAACCTATCTAAACCAATATAAAGTTTAAAAAATCAATTTTTATTATTTTAGGGCTCCGTCAAATATTTCGGTTTTCAAAAGGGTTCCGTCGCCAAAAAAGTTTGAGAACCGCTGCTCTAGATAAACTAAGCGAAATGGTTGTGTCGTTTTTGTGTGAAATTTGAGGACAATAATTATATTTTGTAATATTACAATAAGTCTAAGCACGTATTACATTAGTAACACATGCCACATGAATTAACAATCCCAATGTGGCGTTCTTTAATTTATCAAAATAAGGTCTAGCAATGTAAGTAACACAAATAGTAGCCAACTTTTGTCGCAAAGTAGGTATTTATTTATTGTTTTAGAACAAGAAAATGGCTTCAAAACGTTAGAGAGAAAGTTTGATATAGGAAGAAAAATATCTGAATTCCCATTATTGAGTTTGTACTCGACTTTTTTAAATAAGACACCATTGACCATTCGTTTGGAAAATGAGAACAAGAATGTTGTTACAAATAACGATCAAAAATTAAAAAAATATTTGTCATCAATAGATCTACAATAATTAATCAATAGTAGACTGTAATTGTAGTATTCTTTTTAATAAATAATTACATTGTTTAAATGTATTTAGCAGAACATGAGAGTGCAATCGATATTTGTACAATTTTTATTATCAGGTTTTCAAATTTCCCGCTGCGTTATTTGTTTGATACCGATGAAAACGCCACATAGTGTGTCAAATTTTAACTGCGTTAGAGCTGGTCGTTGTTAAGCATGGGCTTCTTATGAGCGTTTCCTATCTTTATGTCCCTTATCTCTGGTTTTGTGATTATACTCTTTAACATTACTTGAAAAATATTGTTTGTAGTCACACTACATATTTCATAAATAGTACCAACTATTGTTTGGATTGTGCTCAATGTACTTACTTTTGTTTTTTATCTTTTTTGTCTTTTTTCTTTTCTTTTTTGTGCTTTTTCTTTGATTTCTTCTCTTCATTTTCATCATTGCCTTCTTCATCTACTTCAATTTTTTTCTTGTCCTTTTTAGCTAATAAATAATAAAGTATTTATTATCAAGGAAAAACTTTCAAAAGTAAATTCAAATACAATAAACCAGCATTTAGGCTTTAAGAGATGGCATCACATTTTGTCTGCTATTTCTAGTGTAATATATAATAAAAATTTACCTTTGACTTGTTTAACAAGTTCTCCACACTTGGTAATCTTAGCATCCTGCAGGGGCCTGCTATTAGCATCAACTGGAAGAGCTTCAATTTGTCTAACTGCCTCTATTCCACTGATTACTCTCCCAAAAACAACATGAACACTAAAAAAATTAAATTTGTTAGCATTATATTAAATGCTGAAATTTACCAAACTTGGATTTATCAGCATTTAACCTTCTCTTTTATTCCTATGTTTTATAGTTCTGATGTTAGTTTGGTCTATTTTGTTTATTTTGCCCAAGTTGGTTAAATGCAAGATAAACCCACTTTGGAAAAATTCAGCTCATGCAAAACTTGATCAACTTACTTGTCCAGATGGGGCGCCGGTTGCGTTGTACTATAACACAAAAATTGACAAGATATGATCAGCGTAGCCTGGTACAATGGGGTACACACGTAGAGCTACATACATGACAAAATAGATCGTTCTGTAACAGCTACTTAACTTACATTTTGAGGTTAGGTTTTTATAACTAAGATGATATATACTTAAGATTTGCTATGCCAAATAATTCAAAAGATACAAACATGAAATTGTGAAATGTAAAGCTGCAGGAGAACTGTTATATAAATGATAAGATTCTCACCAAAACATTCTAATTTTTTTTAATTAAGATATATAACAGCCTAGTGTTTGTTTTAAAATATTTTAGTAGTGTTTTATAATAATACAAATAATAAAAAATAATAGTTTTAAGCTTTGGTGAGATTCCAGGTTCCTAAAAAATAAAAAAAATGTATTCTATTTAATTTATAAGTTATACATACATAAAAAATTGAGACCCATTAGTATCCTTTCCTCTATTAGCCATGGATAAAAGCAATGGCTGATCATGTTTGAGAATAAAATTCTCATCTAAAAATAAAATATTCAATAATTCCTTGTTTCATTATAGTCTTCATAAAACATTTTGTATTGATATTGTGACGCGAAAGCTGTCTCTGTTCCTTGTTTACTCCTTGCCTGTGGTATGAAGTCTAGCGCTAGCCATATAGACAAACGCACCGCTTTGAGAAGCTACCAGAAAAAGTGGTATGTGGCCGTTGAGTCATAGAGAGGGAATTCTCAGACATACGAGATCGTCTAGAAACTACTGGTACAGAGCTGGCTCTGTATAAATAGCGTGAGTTTGCCAATAGAAGATAAGATTCAATTTAAGTGTTGGACAGAAAAGATAAATTATAATAAATAAATTAGAATTGTGAGTTATAATAGTGCCTCAGTATTATATAAATTAATTAGTATGTTACAAATAAATTGTACATAAAGTGTTCTAAATAAATAAACTATAAATAAATTAAACAAACATTACAATATAGGTCGTTGAAGAAGTGACACCTCTTATATATTGTTTAGCCAACTTTACAAGAGAGATGAAAAACTTATTAAAATTATTATACATACAATGAAGTTGCTTTTTCCTGCTGTTTTATAATGTTCATATTAATTCAAATAATTTTTACTTACAATTTTTTGTCTAAATCATTGTTTTATTGCACTTTTTAATTTATTAACACAGGAGATTTTACTGTACATATTAACCCTTAAGTTGGCAGTAACAGAAATAGTCATTACAAAAAATATTTTTTATTGAAAAACTACTAAATAACATGGGATATACTGACAGTAATAAGTCACTTGAGTCCAAAGGAGAGTTACAAACATACATACAGGTGGAGCTAATATAAGCCTGTTAAAAATACATTAACTTTACGTTTTAGTCTTCAGTTCAGTCTTAGTCTGTCTAGCACATACAGGTGCCTACACCTAGATGTCAGCTTATTTACCATTAATTTATAATTTGTTTATTGTTGTAAGGAATCCTGTTATTATTGTAATAAATAATTATTGAATAAAAAAAAATGGAAATAAATTACACAACACACAGATATAAAAATCAGTAATACTTTTTGAGTTTTTCTATTAAAATTTAACTTAACACCAGAGAATGTTTTTTAATACCAAACACCACCTAGAAAAATCTTCATTTATATGGCTTTTGAACTGATTCATGCTGCAGATACAAGTAAGCACATGAAACTCACAGCTTAGTGAAGATACATTTTTCCACTTTCCTGTAAATGCTTGGTATTTTGGTATTTATAGGAAATCACTGGAAATTTCACTTTTAGTAAGATACAAGTAATTTCATTTTCCTTTTTGAGAGAAAACAATTATTTCTTATATACGGATTTTCTCCAAAAATATGAAACAAATTTTTCTGTAAATTTTCATGTATTTAAGTTAAATTTGGTCAAAAGTGTAGATAGGAGGTGTAACTTCTTTATTCAATGAGGATATGTAAAATTAGGTTCAGGAAAAAATCAAAATGATTAAAAATTGAATTAATCAGAAACGTACCTTCAAAAGTTCCTCCATAGATACTTTCACCTCCTGTTCCATTTCCATTTGAAAAATCTCCACCTTGTATTATAAAATCTTTAACTACACGATGAAAAATCACATCCTAAAATTGAGAAGTTTATTTTAAAATATAGCCTGAATTAATTTGTAAATGGCAGTGTTTACATTATAATGAAGGGGCTTTTTAGTTTCTTCACCTAACCCTTTTTCTCCCGTGCACAATGCTCTAAAATTTTCACAGGTCTTTGGGACGATTTCAGTAAACAATTCGAAAACGATTCTACCACTGTTAATACCACCAATTGAGACATCGAAAAAGCACCTAGCTCTTTGAACTGGGGTTTCAGAAGCGGTAGCTTCCTCACCCATTTTTTTTAACTAGTGAATTTTTTAAATCAAACTATTATTTTAATATATATTGAAATAACTTCAATTAAGGTATTTCAAATGAATATATTCCTATATTTTAATCGCGCACTGAACAAGAAAAAGTTAACAGACACATTTTAGAAAAGGCGTATTTTTTCTACAATTATTTATGAAAAACGACAATTTCCGTTGATTGACACTTGACATTTCCATGATCCATCCATCTTTCATCTTCCATTTCTATGTTGTCAAATTTGATTACACAGCACACAGCCACTATTGAATAACTTTATATCCAAATTAGTATATGACCAGAGGCCAGAACTCTACTTTTCATAATACTACGACTACATTGGACATTGGACACATTGGTAAAAAGGCGTGCGAGTAGCCACTCCTCTATTTATCTCGCAGAAAGTGCGCAGAACACAGAATCGCACAGAACTTTATTTACTATAAATGGCAACAACGCATCTAAATATAACCTAGTTCCTAGTTATGACGGTGGAATGTTATGACTGATAACAGGCATTTTTGTCAAAAATTGTAATCCGAAAACATTAATAAAATGAATGACAATATTATTTTAGAAATGGAAAAGGCCGCTGAAATTATAATGGTAAATAAAAAATGAGTCTAGGCGTAGAAGCAGTTTAAATTTTTTATTTTTTTCAGGCTCCACCAAATTTAGTGTCTAATGAACAAAGACATCTTGCAGAGAATATTTTCTTAGATTTTAGGAAAAGCAAATCGCCGTACGGAATATGTAGAGATATTTTAGAAAAATCTCAAAATCATTATGTTCTCTTTGAAGCAGCTGAAGTATTAAAAGGAGCTATAATAAGAGAATGGTCATTTTTATTTGAAAATGATAAAACATCCCTTAGGCAATATTTGTTTCAGTATATTATTTCAAAAACCTTACCTTCTTTTGTCAGAGACAGGATTTTACAAGTTATTGCTATAATGGTCAAAAGAGCTAGTATAGATGATGGAGGAAGAGAAAGGGCAAATATATTAAAAGAAGTTGAGAACCTTATTGTTAATGCTGAGCCACATAAAGTAAGTATATACATCTAAACATCTTATTTGTTCACTTTTGTGATATTTGTGGCTCTATTAAACTGACTTGAAATATTTTTAGAAAGTTCTAGGTTGCAATATATTATCAAATTTAATGCAAGAATATGCTACTACAGTAAAGTCAACAGATGTAGGTCTTCCATGGGAAGTCCATTTTAAGGCTAAAAAACAGTTTGAAGCTACAGATTTGAAAAGAATATTTCAATTTTGTATATATCTTCTATCAGAAGTTGTAAAAAATGATCCACCATATTCCAATACTCTATTAGAACTCTCAGGACACCTACTGAAGATTACAGAGACAGTTTTGGCATGGGGTTATGTTTCTCCAATCCATATCCTTTTATTAAAACATAATAATTACTTATATTGTGCCATTTTGTCACTCAGTTCTACTTCTCAATGAAGTAGATTTTTTAATGAAATAATGAAAATTTTGTACCACTTTTATGATATGCTAAATATTATATTGGTTTTACTTTTGCCATTTTTATTGGAAAATCTTTAAATAAAATTCCAATATGTTACAGCCCAGTACTCTTGCACTATTAATTATTTTGAACAAATATGATGTATATAAGTAAATAATCTACCAAATAGTTTTAACAAATATATAGTGACATTTTTATATATGCCAGCATCACATTCAGAATTAGTATTGATATAGAAAATAGGAAGGTCATGATCAAAGCAAATAATTGTTTTTTTTATATATTAGAAAACACCACTCATGTTTAAGAGCAGACTTTCATTTAAAGTTTGAATGAACATATCTATTATCTGCATAAAGGGTCAACTAATGCAGTCTAATACCATAATAAAAGTAAAGCTACCTATTAACCAGTAAACAGCAGCCAGTTTGAACCTAATAATAATATAATAATTTACTTTATTTGCTTAAATAAACAGGAACAGTTTTTAACATAGTTAAAATTATCTTAATTTGTGTTGTAAAGGTACTCAAATCAGCCTCATAAAATTCTAATTGAATAGACTGCATGATCAACTAATAAATCCTTAAAATTACATTCTTTAACAACTTTAAACTGTGGAGAAAGCTTATTATATAGTCTGATAGAGTTAAAGTTGCAACTTTTATCAGTCAATGTTGTGCTATTAACAATTTTTCTCTTGTACAAGTGTTGTACTCATGTGTATTGCCTACTATCATCAATACCTGTGATACTGGTTTTACTAATAAAGTGTAATAATAATTCTGAAATCAGTTCTATATTTAGGTTCATGAAAATATTTTCTAGTTGTACATTAAACTATATTTTCAATTGGTAACTTTACTATGTTTTATATGAAAAACTAGCTATTTTTTTATTTATATACTGGCTGAACTCTTTACAAAATATACAATTACAAACAGGTATGAATATAACATTTTTACATATTTTTTTTTTCAAAATCTCTAGAATGCTGATTATTTCATGTTATTTAATTAGTTGGTAAATCCGAGAAAGAGCTAGACACGTCACAAGATATAACCTTTATAAAAATATCCATAGAATAAAAATAACTCCATGCAGTACAGGTAATAAGAATATTTGGCCCTCCAGAATTAAAATATTTATACAATGTTGAACACTTGATATTTATATGACTAATATCATTGGGCTTCCAGTTTACACTACAAAGTGATAACACATTTTAACTTCTATAACTCAAGAACTGTTGATTGTAACTCGACCAGTTTTTACAATATATACTTATAGAGAAATGTTTGATAAATTGAAATGGTATTAAATATATAGTTTATGTCTAAAACCCCTTCCCCATATAATATTTTGAATTATTGCATGTAAATTAATGACATTGAGATACTTCATTAAACTTATATTAATTCCTTACAGCCCTTCTCAAAGCTATACCCCTATCGACGTCACTGATCTCATTAAAGAAAGTATCCCTGCTTTACAACAAGTTAACAACCCTAACACATTGGTGACATCTTAATTAGGTTAATTTGAAAAGAACTATTTTGATAATTTTTCTTTGTTATTTTACTTAACTTCTGTGTACTTCCTAAAAGATTAATTGGAATATATGAATCAGTCCATGAAGCGGACTCAGCACCTGCTTTGAAACTTACAGCTTCCTGGGCAGACATAATTTTAAATCCAGATCTGCTTCCTCTAATGTTTCAAATTTATTGGAAACTTCGAGATTTTGATCAATTAGCACATCATTCAATAAACTGTTTAGTCCAATTGGCTTCTTTAAATGGAGGAATTTTACCAACTGACGAAGCTCGAATGAAATATCTGCATGCTTATTTGATGGCGTTTTTTAATCTTATTTCCAAGTAAGTTGGCCTTTTAAAATTAACTTTATTTGGATAAAAAAATATTTTTATAATATAATTTTTAGTATTACCATTAAAAACAAGGAATGTTTGGGGATTTCAAATATTGTGAAAAAACTTATAATATTTTTTATACATGATATATTGAAACTACCAGATAGTATGAAGGATACATTACTTGATGAATTTACAAGAATTACATGCCATTTTTGTGACGGAGCTACCATTGAAGAAGCTGTAAGTACTGATGCCAAAAATAATTGAAAATATCTTATTTCAAATTAATATTTTAGCAAGGTGCAGAAGATAAATTTTTCACGGACGCCTTTGACAACATGTTAGATGCCTGGACTACCATCTTACAAGAATTTGCTCAGTCATATTTGGAAAATAAATTTTCTGAATGTGCCAAACAAGTCTTCAACAAATACATTCAGTGCCACTTAGCACCTCCTGATGGTTGCAGAAAGAACAATGGCGAAGTAGAAGATATTGAAGACAATGAAGATAATGACAGGTCAAAGTTCAAGGACCAATTACAAGTAATAGGAATGTTCGGCAGGGTTGTTCCAGGACATGCTTTGCCTGTATTATTCAAGTTAGTTTTTTTATTTATAAATATTGAATTTTAAAATATTGAAATGAGTGAACCTTATAGTATTTGCTGCAGTTTCCATTTTTTACGGTAAACAGTCTTACTATCTTCATGGAGAACGAGCCATAAAAGTTTACAGTTATTTTTTAGTTTAAATATGTGTATCACAGTTACTTTGAATTAACTCAGGTGGAATTTTAAAGCATGAACCAACTATACTTGTTTTCAGGCATTCAACTTCCAGGGTTCCTCCTGTCTCCTTTGTGTAAATTATATATTTATACAAAATTATAAAAATATGTCAATTTGCACTCAGGTTCAGGGTCTTAAGATGTCCCTGATCTTGTCCTTATTTTTGACAGATTTGATTTTATTCTGCAATTCGTCGGTTGAGAAGAAAACTATCCCATGTCCATTTTTTTAAACTATCCTCCGTCTATTTTTTTGAAAAATAAGTTATTGACATAAAAGTCCTATTTAATTCTAGCTTGTGGAATACTATCCAATATTCTAAGAAGCCACATGGGGAACAAAAATTGTCTGGAATTGTCTTCATTATAGGGCTGTAAAATTTTCAAATGCGTAATACATAATACTCAAAACTAATAGAAAAGGACTTAGGATAGTATTCCTATCAGCTGACGATTTATTATTATTAAAAAAAAATTGCATACTTGGATCTTTTTGCTGCTTATCCCAATTTGTCTTTAAATCAAAAGATAAGATAAACATTTTTTCCATTTTTTATTTGATAATTGAAGTTACAAAGACGTATCACAATAAATTTATACTTTATATTTTAAATATAGACTCTTAGAAGATAGAACAGATAAGTTTGTTAACCATCTTCAAGCCATGCAAACCCGAGCCATGAATATACAAGAAGCTGAAGCTTTAGATAATTTATTTGAAGATTTACACTGGATTATCCTAGTATCTGGCCATATTTTATGCATGGATAGCGATGGGGAAACTCCAATGATACCCTCAGAAATCATGCAGGTATATTTATTCTTATTATATTAATATAATAATTTATTTTTGTAATATACCTTTGAAGGTACTTAATGATTAATATGAATTTAAAAAAATGTGGTTATAGAGTTGGTTAATCTTTTCTGATTTAAATTTAGCATTGGCTTCTATATTATTTTCAGTACTCTATAGACCAACACAATCGCCGTGAAAGTACATTAAATGCTACGATGAATGCGATAATTGCTGTTGGATCGAAGATTGCACTACCTGATAATTTCGAACATTGTGACCACATTATAAGGATCGTCTTTAATGTTATGAAACTTTGTACGATCGAGGATTACGCCGCCTCTGTCAATTTGGCACAGTTCATGAGCCCAGAAGTGGGATCTTCAATTATGTGGTTTTTGAAACGGTGGTGCCTTTCATATTTGTTGCCTGTTGAAAATTATTATCAAGAGGTAAGATAATTATGTAGTTTATTTTGCAAATTGTAATTGTAGTACGATTCTCATGAAGTAACCACAATCCTAAATATATAGATCCATGCAAATGGTTTTGTATTTTTAGAGTTTAAAGGATAATCGCCTTTTTATTATAGTTATTTAAAATAGGTATTTGAACTAAACCTTTACCAGAAATAATCGTCTCAGCCCAGCTCGTTAAAAGTTAATTACCATGTGTCAAGGTAAGCCACTTATCAGACTGGTTAAAAGATTGAATAGGCAACTACTACTGTTAATAAGTACCCTTTTAAGGGAAGAACCTTTAATTGTATGTTAATTACTAGACTGAAATCTCGATAGTTTGCGGTCGGACATCATTAAAATCATGTTACCATATCAAAGATGACAAGCTAAAAAATTCAAATTGTGATAAAATGAGGTTAAAAATAGTTTAGTATGATTTAAAAATTTTGTGTGTTTAGTTAAATACCTACAGTCATTAGTTTAATACTATATATAGTTCATATTTTTCTCTTTGTATATACAGGTAAATTATGATTTTTTTTTTGTAAGCAAACATTGGCAATTTTTGTGTTGTGTCGCTTTTTATGATTGTGACTATACAACAAATTTTGATTAAAGAGGTGGTAAATAAATAAACATTTATTTTCTTTATTCATCATAAACAAAATTGTTGAATATAAAACAGAAAAAAAAAACACTGCAAACGTAAAAAAATAATTCCTTACAAAATATCAAAAAATAAAAGTTATTCCGAAAACATTACAATAATAATAAATGAATTGCCTACATTAAGCTGTTATAAAAGTCGACGTAATACTTTTTAATGTGATTACTTTTAAATAAAAAGTCTTTTTATTTTTATTGGACTGAAGCGTGCTTGTTTCAAAGTGTTGCAACTCGAAATATGAGGTTATAATAGAAAACACAATTTTATAGAGTTAAATTGACACAAGTCAAATTATGATACTTTTTAAGTATTAAAAACGGAAAATTCGAGAAACTTTAAAAACAACGTTAGCAACTTCTATCTATAATAATTGTAAAAACATACTTGTGACACTTTTACAGATGAAAAGTACAAGGTTTTTATTAGGTTTGCCGATATAAAACAAAAGCTGGTGCTTTTTGAGTTTTTTGAAGTTGAGTTTGTTGACAGTGATATGATCAGTAAAAACTATATATTTGGCAACCATGCAAATGTGTGAGATCTGAGTGCCAGATCTATCTTATGTTGTCATATCCATCAGAGTTTTTTGTCTGTCTCTCACAGACCCCTATAAAACAAAAAAAGAAAATCAGGTATAGCAGTAACTGAAAATTAGCAACATATGACAATACATTCCGTTCCACTATGTGGTATTTCTTTAGCGTCTAGGTTTATGTGATACGAAAAAAGTAACGATACTTTCTTGTTGTATATACAAAAAGTATCGTTACTGTCATCATATCGTAAAGAAAGTTTCGATATTTAAGAGTCAGTAAAAAAAATAGCGCAGCCAATGTGTATAATCTTAAATAAAATGAAAAAAAAATTCCCATACTTTGCTTCTTGGAGGCGGCATAGCATATCAGTTCTTTTTATTATTGAAATAAAATAAATGAATGAACTAAGAACCAATTTGAAATTTTATGGTTTCTCTTTCGTTTAAACTAGTTCCGGTATTTCTCAATTTCCGACCATATAAAAGCTAACATAAATGAAGAAAACCACCTGACTACCACGACATCTGCTAGTTACAAACATATACCAATGTAAATTCAACAATACATTTCTCGCTTTGTCGTCTTGTTGGCTATACACACAGTATGGAAAGAAAAGTATTGATACTGGAATAATATCAAAAGAAAAATAATATCGATATTGGTATCGTATCGGTGAACTGGTATCGATAAAAAATATCAAAGTATCGAAAGAAAAATACCAATACTGGTATCGACAGTAGTATCGGAACATCCCTATTCGCTCCGTGCGAAGTCATGGAAAGGGAAGCAAAAGCGATACTAGCGCTAGCTGCGGATAATTCGTGCATTTTAGGGGGATATTTTGTAATTTTGGCATATCAAATACACGTATACATTTTACTTTTTTTCAAAAAAAGTAGGTAAAAACAATACAATAAGCAACCGGAGTTACTGTGTTGAAAATTGTACAAATACTAGCAATAAAAACAGTGAAACTTATATAAAAAATTTCAGTAGCAAAGTGGAAATTAAATTATAGAAATGAATGGATAGATATACAATAAGAAGGAAAATTACCTTTATTTTTGTAATAATAACCGTAATGCTGCAAATAGTAGACATCAGAAACTTGAAAGGTTTTAAATCAACAATAGATTATCATTTTACCATGTTCTTTAATATCCCTTATTCTTAAATGTTCATTCAGCAAGGACTAGATTTCAAGATTTCTGCCTTTGATTATTATATGTGGTTGGAACGCAATTTTGTAAATTACTGATAGGAAATCAGTTTTAATCATTCATTCTATGTTTTCTTTCGAACAAAAATAAATATATAAGTAATGATCCTTTTTTATACATTTTAACTTCACGCTATTATTAAATGGTATTTTTGTATTTTGACAGAATAGACTAATTCTTCAATGAAAACTTATTAGACTTAGGCAACTTCTCATACATTTTCCTGTAAATACTGTTGCCTGCCTATATTTTATTATGGATTTTTATCAATTATACATAATTTTCTTTAATTTAAGCGATAAAAATATATAATAATAATAAATTAATGTTTTACTTGTTTTACAAATCCATATACTTTTATTAAAACTAACATGTATACTTTTTAATTACGAATTCTATTAAAAGTTGCATTTGTCAGTATACGCCGAAATCCCCCATTAGTATCAAAACGAATTGGCGCTGCTGTCGCGCACGGAGCGAATTAGCGTCGCTCAGCTGGAATAGGTTAATAATGTTTTTTTTTATTATTCGCTATTATTTATAATTTAATATATCTTATTTGAAAATGGATGACCAAGTTTTAGTAGTAACACTACAAATAGAGTAAAGTGGTCTAATTTATCTCTAGGTAAACTTACAAGGATAAAAAATGTCTATGATGGTATTCGCGCGCGATTTTCTAACCTTGGGATGCAATAAAAATGTGTTATGAATTTACAAAAGTTTGTGAAGTTTAATAGAAAAATTAGGAAACTTATTCCCAAAAATTGAAAAATCAAAGTCAATGGGACTTAAAAAAATAGTCTTCTCAAGTAACATCTAAATATAGCAGTGGCGAAGTCTGCATAGAAGCCTCTCCTACTTATCTGTAAACATTTTTAGCGCTAATTAACGTTTGGAAGAGCGCTACTTAATTCAAATTATATACCTTTATTCAGCTAGTTGGTGTAGGCTGAACATAAAGCTGAAGAAGCGCTGTTGTAGTCATAAAGTACACCACTCGTCAGCAATTAGAAATACGCTGCACAATAGACTGAAAGAGTACTACTTAAGAGCGTACGTACAATTTTTCGGGTATAGGAGTTTCAATGCTATTCTTTTTCCCAAATTATAAAAAAACTAAAGAATATTTTAAAAAAAAATTAAAAAGTACAATAAAGAACGTGTTGATATCTAGAGAAGTGCTGGCTTGACAACATCGTAATAATTTTTTTATAGAAACAGAGGGCGGTTGAAAAATGTGAAAATAAATTTACATTTCATAAAAATAATAAGTCAGCTTTTTTTGTTTTTTATATAAATAATCTACTTTCCAAGGTAATAAATCAAAAAGAAAATCACCGAAAACCGATTTCAAAAAGGTCTATTAGTTTTTTTAGAAAATGGAAAAAGAAACAACGCTTTTTAATCGAGTTGAAATTATTTACTAATTTAGCTGTCTTTTTTCCATGATATCCCTCTTGTTTAAAATCGATAACTATAGATGGATTAAGGTATTTTGTACCGTTTTAACACCTGCAAGTTACTAAGTTTAAATTAAAACATTTGTGAATGTTAAAAAATTTAAGAAAGATTTTGTAGAATATAAATCTTTTTTTATAAAAATTAGTAAACTTTGCTGTATGTATATGATAATTTAAAAGGTAAATCACATTTATGTGATTATAAATTTTTTTAATATTTTTCTAATATAATATAGATTGCTCTCTAAATATAAATACAGTGTCTCGCAAAAAGCCTGCTCCATATGGAAAACTTTTTATTGTCACTTTTTTCAGAAAATGTTATTCCTGATAAAACTTGGTGTTTAATTTTAAACCTGAAACTATGTTTATTTTAAATATAAATAAATATAAATTTTTCTGCGCAGTGAACTAGGTACCCATCTAGGAACCCACATTTTTACATATAAAATTAATTTAAAACAATGTATATAAGCCCATACAGCACTTTTTAGTTAATGAAATTAATCTAGTTTATTATATACTTTTTTGCGTAGATTAAAAAGTTTAAAAATTTGGTGCTTTCTTGGTGCGTCGTATGATTTCACTTTGTATATGTTTAGGTGCAGATAATTATTGATACTGGCAGTTTATTTTTAAATCAATAAAATAATATTTTGTTAATCCAAAAAAGGCAAAAGGCAAACAAAAAATCCTTGCCACATACAGTGTAACAATAAAAATTAAATATATAAATATAGCATGTTATGTATTAAGGGACTAAAATATTTTAGTTCTAAGGGAGTAAAAACGACTCTTTAGTCCCTAAAATGAAGGAGTAAACTGCATGTTTTAGTACCTTCGGTACAAAAAATAATTATTTATGCAACAAGTGTGTCAAGTTACCATTTTTTGACGATTGTGAATGTTGTCGCACTCACCTACGGCTTGTGCGACAATTACATGAGTGAAAAAAGGGACTTTACACACGAGTTGCATACAATATTTTTTCTACTACCATACACATTATCCACTAATATTAGAAATATAAAAGTTACATTTTTTAACTAGTGTGTAAAGTACATAGTGATTTGGCTTTAGAAATTAATCTTGAACTTATACTTTTGTCGTGTTCTGTGATGATATACTAATAAAAGTTTAGAGATTGATAGTTCTTCTAATCCACACAGCCACGGCCTATTTCCTTTTACCAAAATCGACATCCACGGTGTGTTTACTTTTAATTAAATCGATGACATTTAGAGAAAATTATAATTAAAATAAAAAACTTGATAATTTGTAAGGGACTAAATAGTTATAAGAAAAAATAATGTACTTATTTGTCTTAGAAGGATATAACATATAAATGGTAATATAAAATAAAAAGTTATATTTTGTTGCTATGTACAATTTTTGTCATTTTTTTTTTACTAGTTCGTAAAGAGTTTTACACTCCGTGGAGTGCGTAAAGTAAAATTTGACAATTATTTTTTTTCACTAGTAATTTACGCACTAGTGAAAAAAGGAACTTTTATATTTCTAATATTATTGGATAATGTGTACGGTAGTAGAAAAAATATTGTATGCAACTCGTGTGTAAAGTGTTAAGATAATAAACACATTAGGTTTATTTGAGCATGTATGTAAGATATTACATACGAGTGTACTACGGCTATAAATAAATGCTTTACAGATTTCTTCGTACAAACACTAAAAATTATAATAATATTTAATTATTACAATCAATTATTCATTATTTACAATTTCTTCCAATAATATTATTAAATAATGTTCGAAATAAAAGTTCGTTAATTTTGACATTTCCCTCCAAAGGTTCTGGTCCCTTTTAATTCTTTGATAATGAATTCCTTTTGGTGTTTATATACATAGTAAAATAACAAAATTTTCTTTGTATGGTTGTGTTTTTTTTAATCTATAGTTACCGTTTACTTTTTCCATATATTTAATTTTTTTTTATCAATAACCTCATTCTGGTGTATAACTTTTCGCTGAAGGAGGACATTTGACTTCCACCAAAAGGTTTTTACCGATTAAGTCATCTGGAGTTGCAGCCAAAAATGAATGTTCGGAATCTATGAAGATTCCTGAGTTGGATATTTCACTATCTAAAGATTCACTCAACTCCCTTAAACCTTTGTCTTCATTTTCTATACCATAATTAGTATTTTTATTAGTAGATTCCCGAAATCTACAAATTCGTCCAAAATTTGAGGCAGTTAATCTTTTTCGCCGCTCCTCAAACCATTCATCGGATTTTCTTTGGCTTAAGGTTTTCTCAAAAATATTTTGTGCTTCTATGACTTTAAATTTTCAAGAAATTGATGCTTAATTTTTTAAATTCATCGGGGTCAATTTCTAAAATTTTCTTCGCATTTGGGCCATAATGCTCACCTGCTAGTTGTGATAGTCTCTACTCATGCTTTTTAAATTTTATTATTTTTTTAAGTCTCAGTCTTCTTTTTTCCACATTACAAAAATTTTCGATACAATTTTTTTTGTGTACTGGCCAGGACTGTTTTTATGGAATGAGGAATGGTATAGACCTTTAGCGTTATATGATAAAGCTGCAGCATGACATCTTAGTTCATAACTACCTCTTGACGTGTAATTCATTCGTTTCCCGCCTAAAATTTTTGCAATGACGTTGTTATATTGTTCTGCGTAATTGTTATTAAGGTTTTTAATTAAACTATCCGGATGGAATTTTATTCTTGATATAGATGACAATACTGCCGTGTTAATTCAAATGGCCGTATCCGTTTTTATATGAACGTGAGCAAAATCGATTTTTCAAAAAAACTCACTCACGCCCAAATTTCTAAGCGTTAAATCTCGGATTTTATAGAATATGTACCCATGAAAATTATAGAGATAAACAAAAAATTCATTGTTATCAGGCGTAGTGGTCGTATCTTTATTTCAAGGAAAATTGCAGTTACGACCATTTGAATTAACACGGCAGTATATATCTTTCATCATTCCGCATTCTGTCAGGTCAACTGTGTAGTCTGTATTCTCTTCATTTCCTAACTTTGTACATAAGTATTTAGAACAGTTCTCATGGTTACCAAATACATGATATGGGCTATTAGATATGTCATGCTTTAGATTTTTTATTTTAAGTTCCATTGCAACTGCAGATTCTCGATGGTGTTTAGCAGCTTTGTCGATAGCAATTCGTAGCGTTAAAATATTAGATTTTAACAAACTACCCAATTTGACTGGAACTAACTTTCCTGCGGTACTGTACCTTTTTGCTGCAATATTCCGCAAACGTGCACAATAGTTTCTCAACAAATAGTTTTGGCATTCTATTTTTTCTACTATCGTGTTACCATATGGCCTGCTTTCTAATATTTTGTGATAAACACTGCTATCTCCATCAGCAATAAGATATTTATATCTTAATCCATGCATATAAATACTACAGTGAAATCCATCTAAAATAGTCTTACTTTCCATTTCAGTTTTGTAGCATCTGTGGTCCTTCTCCTCGAAAAAACAATTTACAAAATGAGCAGTATCTGTTTTTTATACCTAAATATAAATTTTTTTTTTAGTGCGATATCCTATAATCGCCCCTGCTTTTGAGTTTGAACTATAATTAGTCAGCCAAGATCCGTTAGCTACTACCGTTATTAATGGATAACCATTCTTATCAACTTCCCCATTCTCTTTTGCTAACGTAGCTTCCTCTTGTCCAGCTTATATTATCGAACGCCAAGCAGCTTCATGGTAATAGTCCCCCAGATCATTTTGAATATTACGATACATCCGTTCAGGTATAGGAGATATATGCATCTGCTAAATAACTCCGACAACTGACTAATTTAATCTAACTACAGCTATTCACTAAATAAAAATATTGTAAACAACCTCTAATAAATCGAACTGCGTTATAATATCTCACAATAAACCAAGAACTAAATGCGGTTCTGGGTTCCCTAATTCAGGTAACTCTGACTCACTCAAGACCTCTTGGACGTCGGCAGCCGTGGTAGGGAAATAATATATGGGATGGAGTACACGATTTCGAGTTCGAACGTTAAAATTTTGTAGGTACGCTCTTAACTGAAGAAGACTTCTTTTGTCTACTTTAAACGGCTATAGACTGATTATCTTTTCCTTTTTTAGCTGTTTAGACTAATAAAAAGAGGCTTATACAGACAATTAGACTTCTATTATTCAACCTTTTGGCTGTACATGTAGCTGTAAAAAGCGCTACCATAATAGTTGACCTACTTAAATTGTTTGTTGGGTTGAAAGATGATATTTTTGAAACAAAATTCCAACGTTAAAAAAAACGGGCTGAATTACAAAACGGTAATACATAGTTTGCCAAAAAATCGCTAAATGTTTTAACGCTGAGTATCGTCGAGATGAAATTTATATATGGCATAAAAGTTATTTAAAAAAAAAATTGTAAATACCGGAATGGTGGAAAACACCTTCATAATTTGGTTGAAACTTAAGTAAACCAATCATAATATATGGTAGGACTTATTGGTTTTTCTGGAAGGACTTTCTATTTGGCTAAAATAACTTTCAGGTGTTAATTATAACATATTGATAGTGAATCGAGTTTCGTGGAAGGCGGGCTCAGCGTTTTTTATCATAGAAAACCGGTGACTTTCTTGAAGATATGAATGTCAACATATTCGAATCGTGGATGAATTTAAATTTTTACAGTTAGAACCCAGGCCAGCAATCATTATGAATAATGCATTATACCACTGCCGCCGTGCTAAATCACTTCCTACCACAGCGTGGAAAACAGCAGAAATGCAGAGTTAGCTAAATTTAATGACTATATATTATAAAGATACCCAAATAAGAATATTTAAAATCCGATAGAATTAGTTTGGGCCCAAATAAAAACAGATCGCGTTTAAAAATAAGATCTTTAAATTGGCGGAAGTAAAAATTTTTTTAAACAAAGCAGTAGGTGCTATTACAGTGGAAGTATGGTCTAAGCATAACAACAAATTTTGGAAGCCGAATCCTCAAATAAAAATATTGCTGGAACCTTTTGATATTACTTAATAACGATGACATTGGTTCTGATGATGTTTCCTGATCAAGATTCAACTTCTGAAGCTGATAATTTCAACAAATTTTAACTACTCACTTATACTTGCTACCACGCAAATATTTTTTAATCTTGCACTCACTCTTATTTACAATGAATGAAATATATACTTTCTAAACTAACATATTTTTGTTTCAGTTAAGTCCCACATTAATAGGATGTTTAGGAAAAGATACAGATGGTTCAAAGTTGGTTGTCAGTTTTGTTTTATCCAAAATTCAATCCAATTTATACCACTTTCAATCAGAACCTATATTATTAAGGGATACTGTTGAGCTGTTTTGTGATATTGTCTGTGTTAAACAGAAGTAAGTTTCATTCTTGCCAAACACTAAAGAAATAAATATTTCTAATATATGTTCCTTCAAGGTTTCTGTTTTAAATTTGCCCTTTTCTATTTACCGCAGTTGCAGAATTTCATGACTACTCAGAAAATATGAAATATCAAATATAAATTGCTTGTACTTGTATAATAATTTTAATTTTATTTGATTCATGGACCGAAAAATACAATCGACCACACATTGCCCATAACCGATCAATCTGCTGACTATTGAAGTTTTGATTATTTATTTTTGTTTTTCAAAAAATTTTACTTGGTTGTGGTGTTTGTCGTATTACCCCTTGAAACTGTGGAAACCTTAAAACAAAGACAATGAAGGCTTAAAACTTGCAATTAGAATTTTTAGCTGTATATTTAAATAATAATTTTTTGCAGATCCTCTTCACATGTTGTAAAAACGGAGAGTATGCGTAACCTCATCAAATTATTTGCCGACCTACAACCAGGAACTTTGCCCCCAAATATTATAAGAGGTCTATGTAAGGGCTTTGTTCTAGCAGGAACGGCACTGTACAGTAGAAATAACCATGGCGACAATCAATCAACGATGAATGAATACTATGAGCTAATTTTAATGCCCCTTCAACAAAGGTTCAAGAGTGTTTTAGGTCAAGAAAATTTTACTAGAATATGCCATCAAGAAAAAGTACAAAAGATTGTTATAGATTTATTAGAATCATTTATAGGTATAGCTAAAGGATCTGCAATGCCTAGCTCAACAACTCTATTTCACTTCTTAGCACCAATTTTGAGTGAATTGCCGGTTTTTATAACAGTTTATAACAATTATCAGGTTATAGTGCAACTAATTTTGGAACTCTTTGGCCAGTGTGCTAAATATATGTTGTGTTATTTGTCCCCTTTCGATAGTAAGAGATTGTATGAAAGCTCTTTAGCTACAGTCCAAGCTTATGCTAAGTGTAACCAAGGTCGTTTGACAAACGAGAGTTTTGCAGAAGAAAGCAGCTTCCAAGATTTAGCTTTGATTCTAGATCTCTTAACTTTTATACTTTCTAAAGACTGTTTTGATTTTTGTCCTATTAGCAATGATGAAGTAACAGTGGCAGCATCAGATGTATCCCTGTTTGGTCTTAATTTTATAATGCCTTTAATGACGATGGATTTACTTAAATATCCCAGTCTTTGTGCTCAGTATTACAGACTTTTGGTACTTATAAATGATATTTACCCTGAAAAAATTTGTAATCTGCCATCAGATTTACTTAACACTTTGTTAAGATCGGTTGAGTTGGGTTTAACTAATTTCGGGTCAGATATAGTCCAGGCTTGTCTAGATTTTGTACAAGGAATGGCTACTTATATCTTTAGGCATAATCTGACTGAATCTCAATTCGGGCAAGCTATAAGACCGTTTTTAAAGACTGTTATCGACTTAACTTTGTCGCATCAAATAAATACTGACTTAACAAGTTCGGCTAGTACTTGTATTTATGCATTGATGTGTTGTTTTCAAGAAGATTATAAAATGTTGATTCAAAGTTTGATACAAATGCAAACAGATCCAATGACGGCCGAAAGATTGGCAGCAGCTTTCAATAATTTGGTTCTAAACGTGGATATGACGTGTGATAGATTGCCTAAGTTAAAATTTAGGGATAATTTTGATAAGTTTATAGCGAATGTTCATGGATTTTTGTTAGTTAAGTAGTTATTTTGCAATTTAGTTTATTTTTATTAGAATTGTTTATAACACTGATAAATTACCAGCCTTAAACTGAAAAAATAGAAAAACCAAGACCAGAATGAGTTTAAAAACTCGAGATATGCGGCTCGAATACTCTAGGCTGAGAAACTGAAGCGACGTTCTAATAAATGCATTATTTTGAACGTCATGCTTAGAATGAGCTTGCAAATCTCCGCTCATGACATATGCACGGAACTCAATGTATATACGCCACGCCGTGAATGCTCACAGCTAGCAATAATATACAGGTGCGGAAATTTCTTTACAATGAATTGCACATGGTAAAATAGGATACATGCACACAGACAGAAATTTGTTAGCGGGAAACGATATGACTTCCACCTCTGCTCTTACTTTATATATGTTTATTCAATCATTGAAATTGTAATAGATTTCAATCTAAATTTATTGAATACTCCTTGATCTTCCGTCATCAGAAGCTGACTAAGTCATGACGGATTTCTCAACAATACATTTGATTTATGTTATGGCTTGAGTGTCTTTATCATGACAAATTTTAGTTTTTCTTTTAGTTGATTTAGTTCTTGTGTTGTGACATTATTGAGGTATTGTGGTTGTTTGTTAGTCGTTATTGTACTTCTGTTTAGCACTGGTTTCAAAACCAACTGACTAGTCAAGCTTAAATTGACATTAATAAAATTTATTTTGTGTTCATTCAATTTTAAGTTCTATCTTTACAATATTTTACAGTTAAATTTTATTTCTATAATACATTTTTCTCTTTCTCCTTGTGTGGTGGATAGCATTTTTGTCTTTAGGCTATTTGCCGAAAAACTCAGTTTGTGTGAGCGTGAAGCCATCCGTCGAAATCGAAATCCAACTTGATCCTGATAGGTATTGTATTTGGATTGCCGTTCTGACAGCCAGCCCCTCGCTCAGACTATTGTCGAACTAGAATTGGAAAAGAAGTGAGATTTCTGTTCGCTGGTTCGTGATGATGTACGTCTTCATGCGGTTTTTACTGAAGTTTTCGATGTTTTGTAGGTTTGAAATAGAGTCCTCGACCCAAGAATATTTAAAATTTACACAATTCTGTATTTAAATGTTTGCAGTTTGTGTGCTGTATATTTGCTTACAACATAATTAAAATCTTTATCTCAGAAAATATGTGTTTGCACACTACGACATTCTATTGACTTCTGCCGAAGCTAGATCTGAGAGTGATAAAAAATTAATTAATATTTTAAACATTATTTTTCAAAGCTTCTTTCGGTGAAATCGGCGACGTGAATTGTTATGTCACTCCTTGTCTAGGTTAGGACCAACGCAGCTCTGTGTTATGTGGCGTGACTTAGTGATATAACCATTCGCACCTGTACAGTTAGCATCAAGATTCTTCTGCTCATTATTGGTTACATGCGTTGATTGAGTTTTACGTAATAATTAGAAACTAAGGGCTCGCTTATACAGAGCCGTATTCAATATTTATGTACGTTAAAAATATGCTTGTTTTTAAGTTTATCCATTAAGGTAACAGTAGGTATTCTTACCGAACATTGCAGCCTATTAAGGCACATGAGTGTCATCAAACCAGCAGAAGAAACAACATTGTGCAGCTTCTGTGAAGAAGAAGAGGAAACATCAGTCCACGTCCTGTGCCAGATTGAAGTTTGTAACACTAGGTGAAGAAAAGCCAGAAGCATGTAACTACATGAGGAAGCCATTGTCAAAGCTATTAAGTTTAATAAAAATGACCAAGCTAGGCGACATAAGACATAGACAAGGACAGATAAAGTCCAATTCCAAGAGTTTATAGCTAGTCCATGTGAGTTTTCCATTTTCTTGTTAGTATGTGGCTGTGAGAGGGTCTGTTATCGTGTATGGCCTTTCTCTGTAAATTTCCAACGCATCCAAACTTCCTGCATATTCAGTTTTTCCTGTGGATTTGAATGATGTTTTCCCGTACATTGGGGTCTATTCTGCAAAACGCCCTTTAAAATTTTATTTTTTAGCAGGCCGTTAATTTTTTAATCAAAAATGGTATCTATATCAAAATTTTAACGGAAACCTTGGGAACACTTGACAATTTTATTCTATGGTACGCAAGAGAGTAGACCATTAAAGAAAAAGAAGGACGGACAGGGCGTGGATAACATTATAATATTACCAATAACCGAACAATTTTAGATTTTACTTTTATCTTTTTCATATTTTGATTAGGGTTCGGGGTTTAGCTGTCTTTTTGTTTTAATGCTAAAGAAAACTTAAAACACTGAATTCTTGTTACAAATGTTTTAAAATATATATTTGGCAATTTGAACGGGTCACTAAGTCCCTAATTCACTGATGTACTCTAAATTCTGCCTTGAAATATTAAATATAGGCAATATGCATATATTCTTAATATCTTTCGCCATTGAACTTTCTGTCAAAAAATCGCATTTGAACACACCTTTAAAAATGTTTCGTTTTAAAGGACTCCATTTTCTTTAAATATTGACAAGTAAGTTAGTGAATAGGAAAATATTTTTAAACGGTTGTTAACATATAAACGAATCATTACAGAATAGATCCCAGAGTAGGGTATACATCGTGTGTAAAAATTCTAAGCAGTATTTAGAATGAAATCTTGAATTAGTGGTATGTTATTCTGGCTAGCGGTCATATCCTAGAACTAGCCTCAGACACTTGTTTTGTTCGCTTTTTAACGTTAGGTAGTGTGTATTACTCATAAATCAGTAAATTCGACAGACATACGTTTAGATTGGTTTCAATGTTTGTACATTAGTGTTTTATTACTCAAGAGTGACCTTACTCTGTAATATTGGATATAGTGTGAGTATCATCGCATTTGTTTTTGTAACTATGTCGTTGATGTTTTGACATCAATATCCAATCCAACTGAGAATCTAAAGATTACCAAGATGAGACACTACATACATGCCGTAAAAATAGCGCTATGACCTCGTCCCTTTAAATAAAGGTGTTCACGTTGTTGCCAATATGATCCATATATAATTGAGCAAAGATACACAACCATAACAATTCAATAAACTCTCCACAAAAAGTTTAAATAATTTTATATTGGGATATTCATTTTAGTCCGATATCACTGTCAATATTTTGTAGGCATAATGCACACCCCTCTCGTGAAAAATTTCATTTTTGTCATACATCTCTGATGCGAGTGAGAATGAATAAAGGCTTACCATACATTTTCAGGCTTTTCTACCTTCTGTTTTCTACACCGATCCGGTCTGGAATGTTGACGGATCCATAGCATTATAGACGTACGAAATTTTTATAACCTAATAAAAATAAGTCTACCACTAAACAAATAAAAGCATAGAGGTTCAATCAATTAATACTAGTTGGAATGTAAAGTGTAACTGTATTAGAATCATCTGAGAACAACGTACTAATTAAATAATCAGCCGCCTCCTATGGCATCCCTTTAAATTGGAGTGTAGCACTATCTCTCTCGATTTTAGTTTCTCGTTCTGACTGTCATCTCTTGTTATTTCTACTCTTTTGATTTTACTATGCGTTTTGGTGCGATTCTTTGTCGAACATTTTAGTTAATAATATGGATTATTTTTTTTGAAGCATTTATTTTCAGTTAGGTAGGGTATCAACGTTCAATTTATATGCTTGCCCCACTACATAGGCATAGACATTGATACGTGATGAGCGACAGGTGGTGAATGTCTGTTATGTGCATGTTCCTATTGTACCTTGTTATATTCACTGTAAGGTATATCCCCAGTTTTAATATTTCGGTACCTATACATTTTCTCTTGAAACATTTTTCAGTTATACATTTTAGATATCTTCGAAATATTGTCCGATTTTTTTTTTCTTAGTTTCCGGTATTTTTCATTTGAAAGAACTTTATCTTTCCAATGACGTATCATTATATTTTCTAAATTTTTTCATTATCGTATATATTATATATTGACTGCATCAACAATATATTAATTGAGTAATTTAAAGTACTCAATAAGTTGGTTACGTTTTTGTAACTATCATGGGATCAATATTCTTTGTAAGAAACTATTTTTTTATCTTTATTATTTATTATTTTTTTTTTAAATACGACTTTGCAGAAATGGTTGATTTCTCGCTATAGGTATGTAAATGCTGGTCACTAATATACATTACGAGTTTTTTTGAGTACTGAATTACGATAAAAAGAGGAGGAATTAGTTTATGCAAACGGTTTTACATATTCACATAAAATAAGTGCCTATAACGAATACTTTAAAATCAAATTTACTCCATGATGTATATAATTGTCTAAATTAACCTCAGTTCATTTACGTTATGAAATTAGGAACAGCTAAATAGTATATAGTTTCATATCTAATAAAAATGAACTAAAACGACAAATACATTTAGGGCCCAAAGCGTCTCAAAAAGTAATTTTCATACCTTTTAATACAATTATTAGAATAAGGCGTAATCATGCTATCGTTCGGAAAACTATTTTGATTGAATTTTTTGTTTTTAATCCATCTGAATAGGTCTCAGAACGACAGCACCGATGCTCTATACAGGATAACAACTTTTTAATTGAAATATATTGCATCTCGTAACCCATTGATTCACAGAAATTTGAGAAGAAAATATATTCATTGGGTACTTCCAAAGCGCTATTGACTGAAGTCTTTCGGTCCATATTAACAATTTTTATGTATTTATAAAGCATTTGACAATTAACAATACACATTTATTTTAAAAAATGGCTAATCTTCTTAGGTTATCTGTCTTTGGACGGATTCTTTCTTTTTGAATAAATATATATTCAAGGTGTTTTTTCAGCATGTTTGTAATAAGACACAAGCATAGTCGATTAATGGTCTTCATATATACCTATATATTTTGGTAGCATTTTTAATATCTATGTATGTAAATCCTCTAAAATGAGTTCACAGTGTTTTTGTAGTTCAGTTTGTTGTCTATTATTACTCCAGGGTATCTGTAACGTGTGGAGGGACGGGTTA